AAACTAGCATCTGCACAAAGTAAAAAAATTGGTTCGTGTATTGCAGAGGGAGAATTGTAAGGAGTTGTTCAAATGCTTCACAGAAAAGGGAGGGTTAAGGAAAGATAGCAAGGCAGATTTTAAGAGGTCCGGGAGGCAGATCCGTGCAAGGGAGACAGTGAGGGAACAAGATGGAACTGATGACATTTGCTCAGGTAACTCAGAATATGAGAAGCAAAGGTCATGCAATCACAAAGAACTATTGGGATAAGAAGAATAGAGGTATATGAGGGCACAGTAAGAACTGGATATCAATGAAATACAGGGCTACACTTTAGATTTTTTAAAAGGTGGATCCAGCCAAGCTTAACAGAACAATTTCTCTGTTTCTTTCTTGAAAAAGAGAAAAGAGCTTTATAGGAAGATGAAATAGGCCATTTTTTTTCTAAGTGTGCAGATAGTCCTCAATTTACAACCATTCATTCAGTGACTCTTTGTCACTGAATCATTCGTTCAGTGACAACAGCATTGAAAAAAAGTGACTTATGACTCACATTTATGACCATCACAGCATCTGGTGTCATGATCAGAATTCAGGCACTTGGAAACCAGCATGTATTTACAATGGCTGCTCTGTCCCTTCGCCATTTGAGAAGAGCCATAACAACTGACATAACAACTGTACGATTCACTTAACAACCATCTTGCTTAGCAACAGATATTCTGGTTCCAGCCTAGGTTGTACATTGAGGATTACCTGTTCCTAGGATTTCTCTCAGACGAATTTTTATTGATTTTTAACCTTAGTTCTAATGGGTAAAATAATCGTGACATAACTCTGTTTAGGAGAGACACGTGCAGCCAATGTACTTCAGCGAGAGGTTTTCTGTTCTGTGAATTAACAAAATGAGGATATAATTTCTACCACTTGCCTGCCATTGCATAAACTTTTTATTCGAAGTTTTACCGATGACCAAATCAAGCAGCAGCACCACTGTAATAGAATTACATGATGATTTTCAAAATTAAGCGCTGGATTATCATGTCTCAGTGAAAATGAATAATCAGAGTGCAAATTGGCCGAAAGGCCACATTTTAATGGATCTATTGCTTGCAATCTGACAATTTATGATATTTGTCATGACAATTTTCATACTCCAGTACCACAGAAAACGTTGCCACCCTAACTGTAACAGATTTATCTCAAGGAGAAGATTAAGATCTTACTAAGACACAATTAATAACTTTATTTTAAAAATGCTACCCTGCCATCATGATTTTTCATTGGAATTCTGCCCACAATTCCCTATGTATGTGGAACAGGACAGAGCAAATTGTTCCCCTGAATAGGGTCAGTCATTTCTCTGCTTCCCTTTGATAATTTCTCTCTCTTCTGAAGGAAATCAGCTTGGTTTCCCTCCTTCCTGTTGCATTCTTCTTCCCTCAAAGTGCTGAATGTGGCTTCGGCTGGTTTCTTTGCCCTGAAGGATTAACAATTCATCTTGAAAGACTGTTGGCTGGAAAGCCTTTGAAGGCCTCACTCATGAGGAAGAGGCCAAACCTATTGATGGGTCTGGCCACACCCTGGGCTTCCAGATAAATAAGCACAATATCCCTCACTTAACGCAGGCCACACTTTCTAGGCACATACCCTTGTGCCTGCAACAGAAGCTGGGTAAAAGTCATTCCTTGGGGGCTTGAAGGCTTTCTGTTGCTGATGCCATCTTCCCAAGAAAGGGAGAGAAGCTTAGGAGGAGAAATCAAGAAATACCAGGTACACCAGGTGAGTCTTGTAGAGGAGGGAGATGGAGAAAAAAGATAAGAAAGTGACTTCCTGCCAACATTATCTGGGTATAATAGTAAAAGACAGCAGAGGGGAGAAAAGGAGTGAGAGCAATGTGGGGGCCATCTTTTTCAGAGTTAGACCTTTGAAATCTATGAGAAATACTGAATTATCTGTTAGCTGGTACACACAGGCAGATGATTGTCCCAATAATCTCCAGAGATGCTGGAGACTGAACCAGGAACTTAACTGAATATAAAGCACATGCTACACCACCAAGGTGTGCTCTCTGCTGTAGGGAGATGGTATTTCTGGACAAATCAATTTTCTGGATACAGCGGAGAACCCATTGGAGTGAAGGTAGTATAAAGAATCAGAATTGTAAAGTTATGAGGAGTCGTCCAATCTAATCTATGGATCAGTGTAGGAATCTGAATGAATGCTGGAGTGATGGCTATCTACCTTTTGCTTGATCCTATCCAATAAAGGGAAGTCTCCACCAGTAATTAATTCCACTGCCAAACTGCTCTTACTGTTTAGGAAACGTTTTTTTCTTAGTTGGAACATTTAATGTGAGAAGAGAAGCAGCTCTTTTTACACATGTTGTGCTCTTATTTCATTGTTTATTTTATGGGTCTATTATTTTGCTTCTGTTCTGTTTACACTCCTTTCATTTTCTTCCTTTTTATTATTGTAAACTGCCTAGGGTAGCCCCACAGTGAGATAGGCAGCAAATAAATTTAACAAGCAAATAAATAAATATCCCCCCTCCCCCCATGTGCGTACGCTTAAGAATTGGGGCAACTTTTTGTGGGGGAAACTTCATCATTTCAACAGCATGACAAAATAACAACAACAACAACAACAACAACAACAACTTTCCCAAATTATATTCTGTAACTCTTGAAGTGTGTGTGTGTGTGTGTGTGTGTGTGTGTGTGTGTGTGTGTGTGTGATATTATGTCTTCAAATCAATGTTGATTCCTGGTGACAACCTAGGGAGGTCCTTGCCGTTTTCTTGGTTTTTACAGAAGTGGTTTGCTCTTTCCTCCTTCCTAGGGCTGAAAGAGAGTGATGGGCCAAAGTGATCTGGCTTTGTACGTAAGACAGAATTAGAATTTATGGTCTCCCAATTTCTAGCCTGGTGCCTTAACCAAACTGGTAGAGAAGCTTTATTAGAAAGAAAAAAAATTAGGAATCTTTTTTTTTCCCACTAGAAGGTAATTCAGCTAAAAGTGAAAACAGGTTGAGAATCATTCTCATTGAAGCTATAAATAAATGTATTGTGGTTAAGTTGTCAGCATGGGGAGAAATGGGGGAGGTGGCCTTCTTTGCCTTTAACAGTTGTAGAAATGTGGAACATTTTAGATATGGAGAGGAATAGTGAATGCACTATTTCTGAATGTTTTTTTCCCCCCCAATACTTAATAGAAAACAATTGAAGGTATAAATTAGAGATCGTAGAGCTGTTTGGTTAGAGGAAAATATAACTGCGTAGAAGGGATAATATCTTTGGAAAAACTGGTAAGGAGGCTTGAGAGTGCAACAAAATCATTCAAGAACATAGATGTTAAGGAACAAAGACTAGGAGCTGATAGGAGGGAAGTTCAAAAGAAATATTAGAAAGTATTACTTCACAAAATAATAAATTATTATTTATTAAATGTATCAGCCACCCAGCTTACCACAGGGTAACTGGTAATGGAAGCTTGGAAGCAACTTTCAGTAGGGGTAGTGGGTCAGTCATCAGTAACTGATGCTTGGGATACACAGGTGTCCAACAAAAACTAAAAATAAATAATTAAATAAAATAATTAAAAAGGAAACAAAAACAAACAAACTCAAAGGGCAGACTCAATGGACCACTGGGTCTTTTTCTGCTGTCAGTTTTCTATGTTTCTATATTTGTAAGAGCTCAGGGTGGGGAATCAAGGAAAGAAAAACATATTTTATTCTCAGACCTAATGAATCCTCAGTACCTCATTTGTGACAGTTCTCAAACCAAATGAAAGCGATGTTGGGAAGACTTTTGCTTTGATCCTATCTCATTCGCTCTCTGTGATTTATGGGGTTTATCCTCAGGCCAATATGCAGAAAATTGCAGCCTTAATGAGGTCAGCCCATGACAGCAGTAGACAGAATATATACGTATGTATGTATGTATGTATGTATGTATGTATGTATGAATGTATGTATGTATGTATGTATGTTGTATGTATTGTCTTTAATGCTAACTGGGACTCACAAGAGTGAAAATTAATAAAAATAAGACTGTTGTTATATTAACAAAGCTAGAGATTGATTTTAAGTGATACACTGGGAGGAGAATCAATAGAAGACCAGATGGGAAATGGCAGAAAGCATATTGATTGTCCAATAGGCAGTTACTCCCATTAAGTGCTAAAAAAAACCAGCTTTCTGAATCCTAGCATTCCAGTCCTACAGGTTCCAAAAGATAATTAAAACAAATGAATGATGTCCACCTGAAAAGAAATAGGCTACAGTAAGCCAGAACATTGTGGCATTTTAAACTTAATTTGAGTGTCCTCCAAAACAGATTTAAAATTGCAAGTACTGTATCTAGGCATGGAAACAAAAATCCTTAAATCACAACAGCATAATATTTGTGGCCGAAGGTCACAAAGCAATCAGGGCTTTTCACAGAGGCTCATTTGCCAATTTAAAATATATTTATATATGAGATCGTTGTATTAGGTCCAGTTAAAAGTAGCTTTGGCCGTTCAGAATTGCTATCTCATTTTGTGCTTTAGCTTCAGCCTAGCACATGGCTGAATGGACTTCGTGCTCTACCCTCTACACTTAATAGTTCCATTCTTACCCTGAGGCTTGTAGTAATGTAGGCTTCTAAATAGGTTTGACTTCTGTCCTCTCTCTTTTTAGAAATTAGGATTTGAATCATAATAAGCCACAATAAAATTCTGCAAACTTTGAGACACCAAAAGAAAGAAAGCTCTCACTGTTGGAAAAAAACTGTCTTCAGTTTGAGATCTTATAGGAAAGCAAAGTACCTTCTAAGTGTTTTGCAAGCTGAGAAAATACACATTTCAAAGGAATATGTTCAGTGACTCTAAAATGTTAAACAAATTCCTATTGTTCAGCTTACTACCATTCCTTTAAAAAATCAGGCACTGAAGTAAATGAACTTTTTTTTTTTTTTTTTGCAATTAGTGCCATATATAAGCTGATCGTATGCATTGTCTCCTCTTTTCAATTCCAGGTTGACAAAAACTTATAAGAAACTCCTGCACCGTAGTTTCTCTTGTTAACACTTCCCGAGGATTGGCTTGTTTTACACAGCATCCAGGCTGGGCCATCAATTCCCTCTAGTTGACCTCACCTTGGCCAGGGCAACACCCCATACCTCAGAGATGGGGGTGGCCAAAGTCATCCGGCACTTCAGCGGGGACGATGGGGCAGGAGAACTCCAAGAAGATGAGTCAGTGGAATCCCCCAAGAACTGCCACAATGGCAAGATCGTCACTATCCAACCACGCAGCCGTTTTGTGAAGAAGGATGGGCACTGCAATGTGCAGTTTGTTAACATGAATGAAAAGGGTCAGCGGTATCTTACCGATATCTTCACCACTTGTGTGGATATCCGCTGGCGCTGGATGTTCCTCATCTTCTGCCTTTCTTTTGTGCTCTCCTGGCTTCTCTTTGGTTTCACCTTCTGGCTCATTGCTGCACTTCATGGAGATCTTGCACCCGAGCAACCCCCCAACTCAAAGCCTTGCTTCTCCGAGGTCACCAGTTTCATGGCTGCCTTCCTCTTCTCCTTGGAGACCCAGACGTCCATTGGATATGGCTTCCGTAGCGTGACAGAGGAATGCCCCTCAGCTGTCCTGGCTGTGGTCTTGCAGTGCATTCTTGGATGCATCATTGATGCCTTCATCATTGGTGCCATAATGGCCAAGATAGCCAAGCCAAAGAAACGCAACGAGACTCTTGTTTTTAGTGAGACTGCTGTGGTGGCCATGCGAGATGGGAAGCTCTGCCTTATGTGGCGTGTGGCTAACCTGCGGAAGAGCCACCTGGTAGAGGCCCATGTCCGGGCACAGCTGTTGCAGGTAAGGAGAATATTGGTGAGAAATGTGTCAGTAACAGAGAAGAAGTCAGTAAGACATTTGAGGAAATTTTAAGATATGTTCTTCTGTGGATAGATATATAGGAAAGGATGAAAAGAATCCAGATTGAGAAGAGAGTGAGAGAGCAAGTTAGAGAAAAACTGGAGGAGACTAATCTGGCTAGAAAATTGAGAGCAGCAGCTACAGGAATACTAATATAGGATGGATGGATGGATGGATGGATGGATGGATGGATGGATGGATGGATAAATGGGTTTAAGAAGTAAGAAACTGAATTATGATGGATCTGGAAGGAATGATGAATACGAGGTTTGTTTCTGAGTGGCATAGAGCATGTTCACAACTACAAATAGGCTGTTTAAGCTCTATTACATACTATGTGATAATCATGCAATGAAACCTTGGTGTGATCTAGGCTGTATACTGAGAGAATCAACAACTTAAATTGCATTTTTTCTAATCATCAGAAATGTCTGTTGGCTCCACAAGATGGATTTTACACCTTGTCTTATATAAAAAGTCTAATATATAAACTCTGCACCTTCCTTTGTCTCCTTTTCACACAGCCTCGTGTGACCTCTGAAGGCGAGTACATTCCGCTGGATCACAGTGATGTTAATGTGGGCTTTGATAGTGGCACTGACCGTATTTTTCTGGTCTCCCCTGTGACCATTGTGCATGAGATTGATGCCGAAAGCCCTCTGTACGAGTATGGCCCTATGGAGCTGGCCAACGCTGACTTTGAACTGGTGGTCATTTTGGAAGGTATGGTAGAAGCTACTGCCATGACCACTCAATGCCGTAGTTCCTATCTGCCAGGTGAACTGCGCTGGGGACATCGCTTTGAACCTGTACTCTTTGAGCGGCGTGGGCATTATGAGGTTGATTACCAGCACTTCCATCGTACATATGAGGTGCCTGGAACCCCAGCATGCAGTGCCAAGGAACTCAGCCAACGTAAATATAGGGTCTCCCCGACTGGAACCACTGCTGCTCGTTCTTCCTTCTGCTATGAGAATGAAGTGGCACTTACAACCTGTCATGAGGAAGAGGAGGAAGAAAAAAGCCAGGGAAAACAGCGGGTGAGTGTGGAGAATGAAACAACCACTACCACGTGACGTGATCCATGTCCCTCAACTGAGGAAAGCTGAGGAAAGAAGGGGTAGCACCCACACCAGACTTCACATAATTGGGCTGTTTAAACAATTAGCCAAAGGACCACATTTTCATACTTTGACTGACTGTCCCCCTCCCAAATCAAGCATCTCAGCTTGGTCGTTGCTAGAAGAAATACCATGGAACAAACAGAAGACTTTTCTAGATTATTTGTCTCTGAGGAGAGTTAAGGGGTCATAGTTATACAGTATGTCTATGTGAGGGGAAAGGGGAAGTTTAAGCACAGGGAAACTTGCAAGAAAGAATGCCTATTTCATGGGCTTCAAAACAGCCCATGAATAACTTGATGGTTGTGGTTATACAAATTAAGATAACAGTAGTTAGATGGAAGTCTGATGAATCAACAATATGTTTATTGTAAGGAGCTTGAAAGCTCTGTAAGAAGATGCTTTATGATGCTCTACTAATGGCGGTCCCATTGTAGCTCTCTCATTTATGAAGTTCCAGGAGGCAAATGGAGAAGAAGCATTCTCTGGACAGTGGAAATGATGGTTAGGTGAAATTTTACAGAACTGGAATATGTCTGGTCTATAATGAAAATGCAACAGAGGGAGGCAGTTCTACAGAGTTTAAAAATGTGCATTTTTTTTCTAGGCCATTGAGATAGAAGTGATATATTCACAGGGCAATAACCTAATTATACACCCCAGGAATACCCCTTTCTTAAGACCCGATGTGGAAACCTTTTCTAATAGTCCTGCAAAAGTAGCTGGAAATTCTTAAGAAGACACATGCTGGGAAGTTTATTATTGTGGTCTGGTAATATTTGGAATAAAGGAGCCTTTATAAGAACGGATAATGTAGTGTACTGTATAACATACATGTGGAACTATAGAACAAGTGTTTGCGTTAGAAATGCAATGTAACCTGTGATAGCCATATGAGTTTTTCACGCTCATGGGATACATCAGTGGTGGTATTCAGCCGGTTCTATCTGGTTCAGGCGAACCGGTAGGGGTGACTGCAGGATGCCCCGCCCACCCACGCGGATGTCATGATGTCCCATTTTTTTCCACGTTTTCGAGGCTCTGTGCACTCGCGGAAGGCCTTGCACACATTTGCGAACCGGTAGGGAAGGTAAGTGAATACCACCCCTGGAATACATACATATAAGCTTTCATATTAACATGGATATGAAAGGCTGCCTACTCTAAAAGTTAATTTTTGAAAGGCAAACAAAGAGAACTATAGATTTAGAGTTAAATGTTTTCTGTTCTGCTCTCTTCTCCATATTGTACATGAGTGATAACAAAAATGGTCAATATTTCGTCTTCTGCTAATGTACTCCATTGATTTCAGTGACAGATGAAAGCTCGTTAAATAGTTGTGGCACCTGGATCAGAACTTTTAAACTCCTATTTTGCTGAGCTCAGTGCCTCTCACTATCCACTTGCTCTATGGCTAACTCTGAGGATCAGCCAGGAGAGAAGGATGGATTGGGGAGGAAGGAAAGAAAGAAAGATTATCCTAGCATCACATTAAAAACCTCAGTCTAATCATCTGCTCCACAAAGCTTGATGCATATCAGAGCTGTGAAAAATCCTGACACAAACAGCTGCTACCCAAGCTGGTGGATGATAGCAACATAGGCTGAAGGTCAAAGAGGTGATAGCTGAGATTGGATTTGCCGCTGGGAGCTCAGTTTAATATGACACAGTTCCATCATTAATCTTGTTTTATGCCAGTGACACGGTGGTAGAGGAAAACACATTGGGCTGTATCCTCTTCACAGTTTTCATTCCTCTCCTATCACCCTGGACCTCAAAGCACTGGCACCCAGTCTTCATTTGGGTGCCAATAATGTGACAGAATGTCAAGAACTCCTCGCCACCAACATAAGCAGATGACAAATTCAAGTGATAAAACATTCTCCTTAAACTTAAAATATCCTCTCATAGGTCTCTAATCTGCAGGCCAAGGGCATATTTTAGATTGAAATGTGAAGGTTACCCCCAGATTGGGGCAGAGGTCAAATACGCATTATTTTGTCATGATTCTTTATTGATTGACCTACCTATGGTTACTTCCATACTGGTCATCTCCTCTGTTTTAACCAGCCAATCTTGGTCTAAGATTTCACCCAGTTTTGTTTCTGGTGTATCTAGAAACAAAATAATAACTATCTGTACAGAGGATGGTAGAGGACAGGAAGGCCTGGAGGAATGTTGTACATAGGGTCGCGATGGGTCGGATACGACTTCGCAACTAACAACAAGAACAATTTCATTCATTTTTAACATCACAGATTATTCCTTTTTTACTTCCATAGGTAGGAATATTTGGTGTACCTTAACAGGCAAATTTTTGAGATATAATTATAGAAATATAAATTGTCAGTTATCATCATCATCATCATCATCATCATCATCATCATCATCATCTTAACACATGTTTATGTGTGTGGGAAGGATCCTACCTGTATTTTTTTTCTGAGCTTCAGATTTGGGCTACCTCTTATACCAAAAACTGGCTATGAATTATGTTATTTAACACATTTCTTACTATGTCTAGAACCCATCTTTTCTTTAAGAAGATCAAGGGTCATAGATATGTGAAAATCTTCCCTCATTCCCTCATTCCACCATACCTTTTATTATCACATCAACCTTGGTGAAGATTGGCTGAAAGAAAGCAAATGGCTCTTTAACGAATCTTAAAAAGCAAGTAGAGATTTGAACATAAGTCTTCTCAATCCTATTGTGATCTGATCCATGCATTAGTCTCTGTCCTAAGTTTCTTAAAGAAAATTTTGTCCCAGTTCTTGTCCTTCACGATACAAGGAGGGTCCTGGTTTATTTCTTGACTGAAACCATGTCCCCCTCTAATTTGTGACAACTCTGAAACCAGTACACAGTATAAAAACTACTTAAATGTCACAAATGAAAATAAACAAGACTAAGTTAACCTTTGAACAAAAGGAGATTTGTATTGGACAACTGTGAGCCATCCTCTTGAAGTTTACATGTAGGAGGAAACTTATCTCATCCCAATTATATCCCATCCCACTCAATCAGGAGAGAGGATCTGTTGCAAATCCGTTTAGTTAAAGTCTTTTTAATGGTAGGATCCAGGACAAGAGCCTTCCCTGATGTGGCCCCACCCTTTGGAACACCTTACTTCCAGAAGTGAGGTGGGCCCCCATTCTTCTTGCCTTCAGAAAGAGTGCTGAGGCCGGGTTCTGCCAATTGCATAATGTCAGGCACAATAAATCAGGAGATAAAGTTCAAAAGCACTGTGAGTTTATTTCATGCCACCTCTACACAAGAATCTGATCTACTAATAGTCAATGCAAACTGGCAGCACATAACAGTCAACAGACTTCAAGGTGGAGGGTGGACTTAGATCTTATGGGGGCACGGTGACTCCAATCTGATGATGCTTTTGACCCCGCCCTCGGCTCATCTACACACACGGGTTGAAGAGTGTTAGAGAACCCTGGGGATGGTTGGTGTCATGAGGATGTGCTCTCACCCTTTTTAACTTTTGATACTATAACCTTATAATTTGGTTTTTAACTTTTTTTTAATTTATGCTTTTATATTTCGCAACATGCTTTTATTGTAAGCTATCCAGAATCACGTAGGTGAGGTAGGTAGAATAGAAATGTGATGAATGAATGAATGAATGAATGAATGAATGAATGAATGAATGAATGAATGAATGATGGAGCCAGGAAACAAAAAGGTGCCAATTTAGAGATGAAGCTCAGTTGAGGAAGAAAAAGGCGCAATCAAGTCTAGGGGTTAATTGGGAAGAAGTAGAAGGGAACATGGTAACCACTAAAGCCAACCAGAAAGCAGCCAGTTTATCCCATGGATTCCCAGCCTTTTACTTACTTTGGGGACCCAGAGAAAAAAATAACAATACTAACACTTCCAATCAAACCCTAATACACCCATCATTACACCGAAGCTGTGAACAGCTAACTTCTTGCATCTCTGTTATCTCTGTATTCTCTCAAGCTCTTGTTCTCCAAGCCACTTTACCTCTTTGATCCAACAGCCATCCAGATAACAATATTAGGGTTGTCTGGCATTTATGCAACAGCAAAAATGAACCAAAGGGGGGCTGGCAAAATGTATTGATCAGGTCCTCATCCTGCTCAAATGCTTTGCACACTCCTGGGAACCACAAGGGAAGGTAAAGTTTTGAAAGAAGCCATTCTTCTCTTCTAATTCTTTCATATAAACTGAACTTGAGGATTGCTTGTGAAAAAACTAAGCAGAAATACAGATGCTTACGGAAAAGGATACAGAAAAGAGTATCACGTCTCTAAAGAATTATTTTAACAAGCTTCATAAACACATGAAAACAGTTAAGATTCACTGCAAATGGGCTATAGAAACATGGTCCATCTCTGCTCTGTATTACTGCTAAATCTATCACTGGCCAATTTGCTTGGCCAATGCCCAACTGATGAGCATCTGTTTGACATAGGTGATTCAGAGGTGACCCCTCCTCTTGCCCTGCCTCAGGCTCAAAAGTCAACACTCATACGCTTTGCTATCTGAGAGAGCCATTTTTTTCCTCAGCTCTGTCGATGCCCCTAATGGCAACAGCCCACTGCAGTCTATTGTCATCTCATCCATTCCTTTGAGAGAATTCTGGCAGAAGAAATGGAGGCTTCAAGAGAGATGATCCAATCCCACTCTCTACTGTCCATCACTGGAATTACAAGTCTGCAACAGCACTGCATTTGGGTTTCCTTTTTTTGATGCAAGAGTCTCGTCAAGCTAACTCAGTCCTGTGTCACTTTAACAGGCTCTAAGATGGCGGTGCGTGCAGACGCTGCAGCCCTGAGCTCCCAGGATTGGTCCGCTGTGCTTGGAATAGTGTGCATATAGATGTGTATGAACAGTGGAGTGAATGGCTTAAAACTTGTCTACACCAGTGCAGAGTTGCTAAACATCAGTTTTGCAAGTTGATCCAGTATCACCAGCGACTTCCAGTGGTCCCATAACATACCGAGCTGCATAGTGAGACTGCTGTGTTCTCCATGGATTGTTGTCAGGTCGACAGCAGCAAAAGGAGCGGAAGCAGAAGCGTGGATGTAGAGCTGGCCTGCTAGCTCAGCTACGGAAGCAGCCCTACAGACCAGCACTACCAAGTAGTTTTTTGACCGCTAGATGTCTCATCCATAAAGTTGATGAACTAGAGCTGCAGATGATGGCTAGAAAGCTCATCCATGGATCCTGTCTGATGATTGTTATGGAGACCTGGCTTCATCCACTTGTACCAGATGCGTCCGTGGGGCTATCTAGCCGTGCCATATACCACTCCGATAGAGATGGCAACTCCAGTAAGAGCAAAGGAGGAGGACTTTGTATTTACATACACAATGACTGGTGTGCTAACAGCAGAGCTATCTATACATACTGTTCCCCAGGTTTGGAATTAATGACTGTCATATGTAGGCCATTTTATCTGCCTAGAGAAATTTCTGTGATAGTTATTATCACTGTTTATATTCCACCTGATGTTAGCATAGCATTCTCTAAGTTATATGATGTAATTTTGAAGCAGCAGCAAACTCATCCCGAGGGCGCTTTTGTTGTGGCTGGGGACTTTCACGAAGCCTGTCTAAAGACTGTACTCCCTAAATTTGTGCAGTATGTGCAATGTCCCAACAGAGGGAAGAACAGTTTAGACACATGATGGCGAACTTATGGCACGTGTGCCCAAAGTGGCACGCTGAGCCATGTCACCTGGCATGTGCGGCGTCGCCCGTTCTTCTTCCGGGGTTCTGTCGCACATGCGTGTGTGATGATCAGCTGGTCTCTTTGGATGTGGGCAGTGCCA